ACGCAGTTTGTACTTGTGTAAAAACATATATATTCTAATTTTTCTTTATTTTGCTAATAAATACTGTTAATAAATGATACCCATTTGTAAATTATCCTTTCCATCGTCTAACCTTGCACTAAAGGCACTGAATTGAACTGAATCAAATTTAGATGAATTGAAAATCAAATTGAATTGTAGGGATGTGGGATGAAACAAATTGCATCAAATGAATTTTTGATCATTTATTGTATCAGTGCCAGATAATTTAATAGGCAGAGGCACCTGAGCCTACTGATTACAGACATGTAAAAACACAGGTTCCGAAAACGACAAAAATAAATTCAGTGTTCCTCCCCAGATATTGCTCAAAATTGTTAATGTGAATCTAATATAGCATATCATTCTGGGGTATCATTGCAATCCTAGCCAAAATTCCTACACTAGGAAAAAAAAAAAAAAAGGTTTATTAGAACAATAAGGAAAATACAACCTAAAACCATAAATTAAACTGATGACAGCACGTATTAATGAACTGACACTTCAACTAATTAACAGTAAAATAAAAAATGTTATCTAAAAGTAGCACCACCTCCAAGGGGCCAGATTTTGGCAAAAATATTCAGTTGTAATCTGCTCGGCAGCAGTCTGTGTAAGCACTTTATGAAGTGGATGTAGTCTGTGAATCAGAGTCGGGAGACGTTAAAACACAGGAGGTGAGCACCTCTCTTTCTCCCACAGCATTGATTGGAACTGACTGGGCCCATTAATACTTTGATACGGTATATCTGTCGCCGGTGACACGGCAGCACGCGTGTTAACAGCGAGGACCATATTTAAGACGGTTCCGCTCAGCACCCAGCAGAGGAATTAAACCTGGCCGCTCCAAGCAAACTTGCGGGCGCATGCGTTCTCACATTTACTCGGTGTCTTCTCAACCTTTCCTCTTCATCTTCCCATCTCCGCCATCCACTCCGCCCCTCCTGCTCTCTGTCGCTATCCCTCTTCTCCCAGTGATTATAAAGGTCTTTAGATCTAAGGAATGAATGAATTACCAAAGGCAAAGACAAGGCTTGTGATTTAGACGCTGTGAATGAAAAATTACCCCTTTGTTCCCTTCATCAATTGCATGTCTAATGAAATCAAAATCCCGATCGCATAATCAGAAGAGGGTCCTCCACCCAGAGACAGACCTGATGTGATTTGTAACCTTTCTTTTCCTAAGTGGAGATTAAGGCAAATCTCCCTCACATTGTTTCCTGCTGCAGAAATGGATAGTCTTTCCAAGGAAATTAACATAGTTGGGTTGAAAAAAAAAAAAAAAAAAAGAACATAAAAAGTGAGAAGACAAATCCTAGTTGATACTGTTTCTCCTTGCCTGTCCTGTTTTCCATGACTCTCCTCAATCTACAGCTCAAGGTTAGCAGGTTGTGGGATTAAACAACCTTTAGTTAAAGTCCTGAGCTCTGTAAACTCCTAAATCTTCTGCTTTTGATTGATTAACCCAGTAAGGGAAGACAGCATTTGGTCATGTTTAACTGTAACCTGTCTGGTAAGATCTTGCCCAGTGACCTGTCTTTGGCTCTGAATCAAACCTCAGCAGGTTACCTTTAGCCTGACTGATGGAAACACTGCCTGTTTCACAGCTGATGAGGGAGCTCGCCTCCCTCCGCGGCTCCCTTCGCTAATTAGTATTAATTACTCTTAATTCTAGCCCTTCACCCAATCTCTGCTTTCACTTCAATATCCCTGCCAGAATCCTTGGAGACACTGGTGTTTCATCTCTCTGGAAGCAAAGTCCAGGGTGACATGTAACCAGGTCAGAGTCACATTAACTCATAAAGATGCTTTTTTGTAATTTCGTTCCTTAAATATGAGCATAGCATTTAATATGCTTTAATTCCCTTCTCAGTAATCAAGAGAATTAATAGATATGTCATATGTGGTCATTAAGTTATCAATGAGAATAGTAGTATTATAACTAATTTGCATCAATGTAACCTACACAATACAGATAATTAACCTGTTGGGAGCAATTTCTATGATTTATCACAGAATAAAGTAAGTTCAGTAATAAAAGACTAATTGGATTACCATTAGTGATTGAACATGTGATTTCTTTGAGGCAGTGACTGAAAGAGATCATAGGTCCACCATAATATGCCATGCTGTTTCAATTTTATGAGAACAACTGAACACTACTGTCACATGTAATTTAAAGTTGAAGTGTGTTGTAATGGAGACATCTATCAGCAGAAGGACTGTGCTTATTTAGTGCAAGTTTCTAGGTAAAAAGGTTGGTCCTTTGTCAATTTCATATCAATTAGAAAGCACAGGACAGGCCCTTTCACATGTATCCAACATGTTAAATGGCTAAATACGTACAGACCACAGAAATGCTTACCAAGAACAGTAGTGAACAGTACTAAACAGATTAATAATGGTAATCATATAACATCCAGCAGTCAGTTTTTAAATAGGGCATAAAGATAAGAAAAATTACCAGTCAAATAACCACTCATACTCACTGACATCTGGAAACAGATTCAGTATAGTCACCAATAGCCACTTAATGTGAGAGGGTACTGGGACAGCTTCAATATTTCTCACAATGAAAAATGGTAAATGGGCTGTACTCTGCAGCACACATTCACTCATCCACCCTCCTAAATGTGGATAAATTCATACACCAATGAATAGGGTCGGTAGGAAACTTAAGGTTTAGTGTGGCAAGGAGCTGGATTCAAACTTACAACCTCATGACTGCAAGACAGCTACTCCTCCAATTTAGCATCCACCTTCCCAGCATGTCTAATCTACCTTAGTCCTAGCCCCCATGAGGCTTTGCGTGATTTATGGGCGCGACTTCCGCCGCAAACCGGAACCGCTATTTGTTTACATGTTAGCAACTCGCTAACTGGCTTTCGTCAGAGGTTTTAGGCTATAAAATACGTGGGAACATTAGGTATCACAGCGTAAATGCAGCGGGATTGTTTTTCCGCAACCTGCAGCTACTGCGGGGAGGGATGGCGACTTGAAGAAATGGCCACAAATAACCCGCACTAGCATGTAGCTACTTCACTGACTCAGTTGCTTAGGATGCAGATGCAGGTTTTCTTCCATTGACTTTTTGTCCACATAATGAAACGAGCACACATAAAGCATTTTGAGTTCTCTCTTCAAGTTTAGAATTTTTAGCCAAATTCTCTTTGCTTCTTTATCTGTCGGTAGGAGATGAAAACTACCGCTTATCACATAAAGTCTGCCTTTTTGTTTCGGAAGCGCATTCAAAACACACTTGTTGCCACAAATTAAACTTGGTGTGATTATTAGAGTACAGCTACGAACAGCACAACAGTTATCCGAGCTCCACAAGGGCATCTTGCGACACTTTCCAGTGGCACGGTGCCCTCTATAACGGGTTAATGTGTGATTCGGTTCGGTTCTAGTCCAGTGGGAGGAGATTATCCGTATTACTGCCTGAAGCGCCGCAGCTGCGGTCATTTCTCCGCTGATTTGTATCGAAACTCAGCAACGGAGAACCTTGAGGATCTGGTTCTGATGGACTAAATAAACCCAGATATTTTATTATGTCTTATAAAACTGTATTGTTGGTCCAAACATAATGATAAAGACTTAGATCATAAACTTTACTATTTTTTTAAATTCAAACGAAAAATAAAATTCACATCACACCAAGCCAATATGTAGTTCTGCTAATTCACGGTCATTCTGTCACAAAACGTAACGTGATTAAACTCATAATTACCATCCTCTGTACTGAACAGCTCTCTGATAGAAGGCGGCGTGTCCGCAAACAAGTTTGACTAAATACGAAAAGAGAAATATAACTTCTATCATGAATATAGATTAGCAAAAAACCGTACAAATTACAGTGAAATACCACTACTTCCGGTGGGCGCCGGGAGTACGACCCATTATCGTTTCCACAGTAAGCCTGTGGGATAGGGATAGGGACTGATGTAAAATAAATAAATAAATAAAAAAAACTAATTAAAAAACACAAGTTTGAATAGTTTTGTGCAATTATCATTTACATAAGCAATGTAGTTTTCCCCACAAATTGGGGCTTCCAGCACTAAGGTAAGGAGACAGAATACAAAAAGAAGAAATCAAATCACTGAAAGCAAATTTCAACGGTGTTTTAGGGCGTTTAAAGACTGATCCATATTTTTTAAGGATAAAAAGTGTAAATGATGGCGTATGAAAGGTTTGTATGTTTGGATTTTCAGGAAACATTTTCGTCTTGTTCCCAAATTCTGGAAAGTCTGAGTTCAGATTTGCCATGTCACACTTTTTGTGAGACCTTAAATTCTGTTGTCAAAACATTGGTTTTTAACATGCTGATAACATTGCAGCCACATATACTTTAAAACAGAGTAATATACCAAACCATAATTTTCACAGACTGTTAAGCCCTGCTTTTTTTTTTTCTTTTTTTTTTTTTATCATTGACTTGCACCTAAAGTTATTGATGACCTTGTTAAGCTGCGAGTTGGAGAAAGACACCTGTTTTGTGTTTCAATACTGCAGATAAGGAGAAGACCATTAATAAGGCCTCCCATATTATTACACCTAACTCTGGTGTTAGAGTTTGAAAATGTCTATAAAAACCTTACCACAGTAACACCAAGTCAAGTGCTGAGAGCCAACACAGGTGTGTGCTGCCATATTTTTCCACAAAGAATCAGACGTTTCTTTCTTCCTATTTTAATGGGCTCAGAATGTGTCTTGAATGTATTATCTATGAAACGTGTAGAAACCATTATCTATTTTATTTAATTATCAACAGAAAATATTTCTCCTGAGGTCACAGAAATAATTTTGTTAAAATTTGAATTTCCCTGTTTAAATTATAATTTGTTATAGGCAGTTTTATAATTAAATAATTCCAGTTGGCAGATATCCTAGATATAGTGCCTCTGATATCAACTGCTAAATAAACAAAGTTGTATAAAATAGTCTGTCATTTAGATTTCTAATTCAGCAGGGACTCTGACCTGTGTTTCCAATACCAAGTTGCAGGGCGCTGCGATCCTTCGTTAGTCCGTTGGTTTTGGGACTCGCGCTTGGCGCCACAGTGGCCACTGCTCTGGGCGGTCGCTTCCCTGGTACCTTCACTGTTGTCCTCAGCAAATCAATCTCCTTTCCATGCACATTCTGCATGTAGTCCTACGGACATAAAAAGAAAAAAAAAAAACAACACAAAGCCCAATAGGAATAAGATGACATTCTTTGATGCAATACCTGACTAACTACACACAGTGGGCCACTGAGAAGAATCCAAGAATTACGGGAGAAAAACAACTTAAAAGACTATTCACTTTCCATCTCCATTATTCACAACCCACCTTAGACCCTCTACTAAGGTTGTGTGATGGTGGAAAAATGATTGTAAAGTCATTATACATCACCTGTGCCCACGCTGTTCCTCTAAATAGCAAGATGTTGGGCTTAATGAATGCAGACTGTCTCGGTCTTTTTTTTTTTTTCAATTTGCCCATTTGATTTGTTTTAAAGTGACTACTTCCCAAATGTGGGAAGCCAAGGTGAAAATCATCAGGCTCAGCAGAAAAAAAACCCCAGATAGAGGCGAGCTCGGCCTTTGCCGTCCCCCCAACGGCTCCTCTGCTTTATTACCGTGTCATAAAGCACTCATTTCTTTCCCAAGCCTCCTCGCTAATTACCCAGTGAGCGCTCTCATTTCATTTTATTGCTGGAATTAACAGCCAGATCGAAGCGTGCAAAGCTATTAAGATGTGTGATTAAGCCACATTCAATTAGTTTCTACAAACAATTTAATTGATGTAGCAGATAGAATTAACAGAAGGTGATTGTGTAGATGGCTTGGCTGACTGCGAAATTAAAGGTTCCCCTCTTCCACTCTCTGGCTGCCTCCCTCCTTTTTTTTTTTTCCTTTTCCCACTCCTTCTCTGCTCCGCTGCTCAGAATGAGTTGGAGCCGTTACCCTGTTAATGTAACTGTCTGCCTTATTTCACCTTCTCCTGTAAGTCAACAGATTCATAGATTCATAGATTGCCCCGGTGACCTGTAATAGCTGTAATGATCAAGAGATAGCCTGTTTAGTCAATTACATACATCAGCGTAGCCCGGCACTGCTCCGCTTTAACTGCCTGTAAATTAAACCACTAACATACTGTCAGAGGAACAAGGCCACACACACGGTTCACGTCTCACTGCTGGACTGGTTTTGGAAGTTTGGGCTGTCTCATTAGACACAAAATGCTGCCTGTATCTTTCATTTGATGGGGCCAAATGATCTAAACACTTCAATCGCGGGACTGGAGGAATCACAGGTTGATGGGAGGGGAATTTGGAGGGGGGCATCTCTAAACGCAGCACAGGGCTCCTAAGCTGTCTGCTGCCAGCCAGCCAAGTGTTTAAGAGGTATTAGCGGCCCAGCGGGATTCTGACAAAGATGGATGTAGGAGGCTGGTCAGGCTCCGCTGCCATGCAGTGAGAACCATTATAAATAAAAGCCAGCGTGGAGTCTGGGCGAGGCATGTCTCCATTAGCCAGCAACATGGATGGGCAGCGCAGGAAAAGCTAAGATGACTGTAAAACACACTCTGTTTTTTATGCTAACTTTAGAGTCAAAAGGTTATCAAACATGCCTACTTTATACAGTGTCTTGCCTAACGTGTTCAGGCCCTTTGAACGTCTCCACATATTGTCCCATTACAACACACGCATCTATGTCTTGTACTGGTATTTTTGTGATCAACAAAAAGTCATGCAAAGTTGTAAAACTGAGGAAAATGTGATTGTTTTATAAACATCATGACAGAAAATCTGAAAACTGTAGCATGCATCTGTATTCCCTCTGAACCAATATTCAACAGAACCATTTTTTGCTGCAATGACTGCTGGAAGTCTTGGAATGTAACTCTAGCAACTTTATGCAAAGGTATCTGCAGGCAATTTTCTTTTTTTTTTTTTTTTTCATTTGATTTTATTTTGGGAGTATTGTAGGAAAGAGGTGAAAACACTGACAAGTCATACTTGTAGAAAATATTAAAAATAAAGGGTCATTTTCAGGCCTCTTCACAACTATGCATCAATCTAAGTTATGTTACTCTGTCACATGAAATTCCAATAAAATACATCAATGTTTGCAGATGCATGACAAAATGTGAAAAGTTTTAAGGGAGCTGAATACTATTATAAGCCACTCTAAATTTTGCATATGGCTGCAATCCATATACTACGGTAGTATAGTAAATTATACTAAAGTTGATAAAGTCACTTGAGGACAACACAGAGCAGAGTAACACAACCATAATATACAAAGGAAACAGAAATTCAGAAGGGAAGAAGGGGAGGAATTTGTAACTCACATGTAAACTGGGGTGGTAAGTGAGGACGCCATTATCGCACAGTGTGACATATTTCTTTTTCCACTCCTTGTTGAGGGATTTGCCACTTCGCTTCAGAAGGATTCCCTGTAAGAGAGAGCGCACCACGGTGAGCATATGCTCTTCCAAAAGCAGCATGGTTGATGATATCAGCCATTATGGATGTTAAATACCATAAAGCTGTTTTATTATTGTGGTTACAGACTTGCTATGGTGCTTATGTGAAGAATTATCCTTGTTGGCAAAGGGAAAAAAGTGAAACGGCAACTTAATAAGCTAATTGGAAGCAATTGTACATCAAAACATACAAAATTATAGAAAATAATCACCTGTTTGTTCCTGTTCTGATACAGTCTGAATGGTGATAGGTACAAATATACTTTTGCTTAGATATAATATTTTGACCTTGCAAAGTTTCATTGGCTCAAAGATTAGATCAAAAAGAGAACAATCCAATTTGCCAAGCCTCCTCCTCTCATTCATACACATAATAAGTTGAACTCTTGAAGACCCCAAAATCCTGGGATTAAAGAGTGTGATCTTTCCTCTTCAAAGGCCACTCACCCCTTATTCTTTTCTACTTTATCTTTCGGGGGCATTTTAGGGCCTTGGATGGTTTCCTTATCTGCAGAGTAAATCCACCGGTAAACAATGCAGTTCCTCTGCAGGAGGTGACCAAACGCTGCTGAGTGCAAGGGCCGGGAGGCTCTCCGGGGTTAAATAGTGAGGAGGGGCCCGCTTAATTAGAGGATTAAGCGGGGCAGTGTTTGTGCTTTTACAGCCCTCACCCATTTGAGTGTGTGTGTGTGTGTGTGTGTGTGAGGTAAAGAGGGGGAGGAAGGATGTAGTGTTTTTGCAAGTCAGTTCCATTCTGTGGCCTTTAATCCTGATTAACACATCAGGAAGAGGTGACCCTCGATGACCTGGGCACCAGGCTGTTTGCCGACAATCATCCTAATCCGAACCCTGACTCATCTGAGAGGGGGAGTTCTGATGACTGACATGTGTGCTGGGACCAAAGTGTGAAAACTTTGGGTCCAATCAGTGTTTCTGTTAACCAGAATGCTGCTGAAAAGCTACAAAGCAGACACATTTGTGAACACTGTTCTGGAGCGAATAGACTTTGAAGCCTTCGTAAAATAATAATATTTTAATGGAGAAAAAGAAAAGTAAACATCCTGTCACCAAAAGCTTTGTGGATGGGGTCAGGAGGGTTGTTGCTTCTTTCAGAATAAAATAAATAAATAAATACATATTATAAAAAACATATTATAAAAACACTATTTTATGTATATAGGCCATGTCACTAATGTGGAAGCAGAAACAGCTGGATACATATCTCGATGATTTTATTTTTATTTTTCAAAAAAAAAAAAAAAACTTCACGCAAAGCCTAACCCCTTCAGATGAACTAAAAAAAATAATAATAATAAAAAAAAACACAATTGCAAAATTCTCCTTGTGTAATTAAAAGTGATGATTTTATGCTTAAAAATTATATATATTTTTTATGTAAAAAAAAAATCTGATATTACTTGCAAAGATGTGCTAAGCAAACCTTGATGGAAACATGAGCAATAAAGCAGTACTTCAAATCCAAATGTAAAATATTCAAATAAAACAATACAGACACATTTCTATCAGTTATGATAAAACATTGGCAGCAATAGTATTATATTGTGGCATATTAATGTGGGTACTTAGTGAACGTACGAGCACAGTTAAAGTCATACAAATGTATTGTCCTTGTTAAGAAAAATGTATCCATTTACAATTCAAGAAGCTCCAAATGAAGGAAAAAAAACACTATTGCAATTATGTCAAATATAATGCATAATTCTTCAGTGTCTGTGGTTATCTGTTTCATAAGAACTGATACTTTAGGGATTTTTTTAGGAAGAAATATTGTGTCCTTTGATCAATAAGTTGCTGACTGCTGAAGCTCTTCTCCATTCAATCAATAAAAGAACAGTAAACACTTTTTAAATGGCTCTCTAATCATACAGGGTAAATGATCCAGTCAAATGGCCTCTAGCAACTTCATAATGCATGTTTTACAAGCAAATATGTTGCTCATCTTGTGGCCTTACTGAGGCATACACAAATCTATACATCCAATCAGACCAAAGCTTGATATTATTTGTCAAAGCTGCGATGTGGATCGATAGAGGTGAGAGAATTGTGTGGATATCAGCTTTTCTGTTTTTCTATAAGAAATACAGGTGCAGTTAAACAAATGAAGCCATCATTCAAAAGTATTTCAGAAGCACTTTGAATTGCCTTGTTGCTGAAAATATGCTATATAAATAAAATTACCTTACCTTATTCAGTTCAACGACTGAAAATTGCATAGATTAACGTCACATTGAAATGTTTCAAGTGTAACAATTGCTTACTTGAAAAATCTACATTTCGAAGCTCAGAAAATTGGATTACATAAGAATACAGAAACACTATACTATCACCATTTTATAAATTAGAAAATTATTGGGAATATGTCTGACTAAACTGCTGACCTGTCCAAATTAATTGAAAATTGAGTGGAAGGAAGAATGCAAGAGCAATTGAAGTAACAGCAGCTTTGACGGGCTTAAAATCAAAGCCCTTTGAGGAGTTTCTGCTGGACTAGAGAAAATGTCAGCATCTTAAATGACCCGGACCAGACAACGCAGATGAGATGAGGGCTGCAGTTAAAGCATCCAGGGCTTTCATTACACCGCAGCCAAGTCGCGGGCTGATTGCCAAACTAGACTGATTTGAGCACCGGCCCAACATTTCTTTCTTACATATGTTGTTCTTTATTGGTCTTATGCAATATTCTAATTGTATTTTCTAAATAACTGCTTCAAGTATATCACTTTGTGTGATAATCTGTTCTGGGTTGCACATTTTAATTGAATAACTGAAATAAATTCTTAATTACTGAGATGCACTTAAGATAAAATTAATCTATGACTTGGTGGTTAGTGGCAATAGATAAAACTAATGTCCAGAGGCCATTTTGGGGGGGAAAAAAAAAAAAGCATTAGTTCAATTTTAAAAAGCTTCATGTGCGTCTACAGTATTTCTCCTTCAAATTTATACAAACGCAAAACACGAGTGTGTTCACAAGTGTGTAGGACATTTGAAAAACAGCATCAGATGTGCTGCTTGTGTCCACACAGTTGTCAGCTCAAACCCAGAAGAGACAGCCTGATTTCTCTCCTTTAGTTGGACGAGCAGGAGAAAAGCTGCATCCTGCCAACGTGGCTAACTGATACGTTGGCTCTTTGTGACACGCCAGGAGAGAAGGGGGTGAAATAAGTGTGTGTTGGGCTGGGGTAGGGGGTACAGAGGGGGTTCTGTGAGCAGGAATGCCACTGATAGAGGCTCCTCAGCAGTGACTACATTGTTATCTATGCTCACTTTTTATACACTGGGAGGAGGAGCAGAGGAGTGTGCTGTAATTTGGTCTGATGGGGTGAGGGGGCACTGGCAATTAAGCTCACATTGATGCTTTGATCTTCCTGATTGTGCATTCGACCGGTCTGGTGATCAGAATGGAGCCAAACTGTTCCCATCGCCAAAAAGCAAAAACAGAAAGAGAAACACTTTCTAGATAAAGAAGTTTAGTGTGTGGTTGTCATGCCAAAACTAGCCATATAAAGGAAACTAGTTGTGGAATATGTGCTAAATATAATTGACAAGATTTATAGCCGATTATACAAAGAAGAGTAATCAATTCAACTTGAAAACTAAATTCAAATGTAAATTCAACTGATCTATCAAAAGGTGAGTTTTACCAATACCAGATGGGAATGTGATGCTTCAAAGGTGTTCAACCAGTAAAAGATTCCATCTTTTCCTCCGTTGTGATATAATTTTCTCATTTTTAAACCCGAACAAGTGTAAAAAAATGATTTAAATCACCACTTTAATATAAAAAGAAGTATAACACTTTCTCTGTATTTTTAAGATGTTTAATCCATGATGAGAAAAATTTAGCATCACCACCACAGATTTGCCGTCGAAGAGATTTGGTATCTGTAATAAATACAAAAAAGGATGTTTCTGATTGAGTGCGGCGGCTTTCAAAGCCTCAACCTGCTATTATTTCTCCTGGAAAGAAGCCTTGGCAATTTTCTTCCAAAGGGAATGAGGAGGTCTGGCTCAAAAGGAGAAGGACATTATCCTCTATCATCTGCAGGTAAAGAGGATAATACAGGGCTACTGACCCGCTTTGAAAGGCCCTCATATAATCACGAGTGATTACTAATCAAAGTGTCCTTTACTTCTGCTCAGGTTACCGTTGTATACCTTCACAAATGATTTGGACCCTGTTCACTACTTCAAAATTACAACATGTATGCCCATTAAAAATATATATAATAAGGGAATTAATAAGACAAACAAACTAATCAAATGAAATTATTAAAATTGAAGAAAACAAAAAATTCAGTTATGTTAAAGTTTCTTGATTGAAAAAAAAAAAAGTGACGCTATTGTAGAAAATATTTTTATTTGCCACTTTGCTTCATTTCCATGTTACGTTGCATGGCTTAATTGGCAAAGCTTTAGAGCAAGTATAGAAATAACACCAATATTGTGTTTGTGTACTCTTTATTATTTAAAATTTCATATCCAATAACAAATGTCCAGCATGACTATATGTCAATTTTGATTTATATTGTAATATTAAATTAGAAATGACCAAAACAATGATATTCGTTTGAGTTATCTTTTTGTTATTATTGCAATTTGTTACATTGAAGTTGCAATAACTGAAATCAAAGTTTATTCACAAGATTTAGAGAATTAAAAATGTAGTTAATGCAACTTCCAAAAATTAATAGAATTTATGCCACATTTGTTGCTTTCATGATAATTTCGTGACAGTGGTTCTGAACGCAAATAAAATTGCTTACAGTTGTTAAATATAAACAAGTCTCAACCTGAAGTTGCATGTTTATGGAAGTCACAACAGTGCAACAAGATATAAATAAGCTAAGGCTAGTTTTTCAGCTAATAAATCCGATAAGCATCTCTTTACGCTAAACTGCATAATTTATACAAATAGAATATCCTGTATCACTTTTTGTTATTCTGTGTCGCCATCTAGTGGCTTAATAAACACTTCAGAATCATTACAAAGCCTTCCCACTGTATCATACACATAAATATATACAATAACAGAAACATAGACAAAAAAAGTTTTTAAACTATAAAGAGGGCAAAATTATTATAATTAAATTAAGAAACCCGAATTTAGCCAAATGCATACATTTCTGTTGGATTTCTAGATAACAGATGAATAAATATTTATTTAATCTATTTTTAGTATTTTGATGTTAGCTTGTTTTAACCTGAAATGTGCTCAACAATCAAAGGCTGATTTATAGGTTGACTGAGTGTTTGACACAGATAAATATATATATATATATATATATATACATTTCTGTGCCTGCAAGTTAAATTGCTATTTATCAATTTAACTTAACTTGCAGTTTTGAGCACAAAGCAAACTTTTGTCATTAACTATGGCTAGAAACAAGTTTTGTAATTTGCTCTAAAATTCTGAAAATTCTTAAGTCTTAAGTCATAAATATTTATAATAAATGATGTCACTGTGGTTTCACAAAAGTAATTTTGCAACATGTCAAAAAAAAAAAAACTTAAACTAATGGGACTAATCTAGCAGCTTGTGCTATAAACAGAAAGTATGTCATAATATTTTTTGTTCTGTGTGGCCATCTAGTGGTGACAGCCTGACGTCATGTCTGGCTGTTATAATACAATCATCACATCACTTAAAATAAACAGCTTCTGTTGAGACGTTCAAGGATTCATACTTACCTAGGGAATTATGGGAAATGAAGTCAAAAACCAGTAAAACTGCTCACCTGTTTGATAGGTATGGCCCTTCCACTGCCTATGCTGTCTGTTTTACTGTCAACGCTCTTTCCTTGCTCACTGCCTTTCCGTGACTGCAAGAGAACAAGAGAGTCAGTCAGTAAGTGAAGCGACACACTGAATACAAGGCAGAGTGGGAGCCGTGGGGAAGTGGATGAAGTGTTTCTTGTATGTTGGGAGTGCGTGTGGGTGACACAGATAGGCTGTGAGTCAGAGGGCGGGAAGGGTGAGGTGAGGGAGCATGTTTCTTTTGTTTGTATGTTTTTTTTTTGTTTTTTTTTGTTTTTTTTTGCATTTCTGCAGTTTTTGTGGGGAATCTCAGCATTGCAAAAATAAAAGGTCTCAAAAAGAAGCTCCAAAAGAACACACAAGCAGACCAGCAGAACATACAGCAGGAACATCAACGTGCAAGATTAAAAAAAAAAGAAAAAAAAAAAAGAAGAAAAATATATAATAAGAGACCAAAACAAGACCACACTTGACACATCTCAACACAGAGGAGACAACCAAACATTGAGTCATGACTCAGCCCTGAAACCCTTTGCGGATCCTTTCCTTTGACTCACACCATGAGTGGGTCCTTAGTGAACCTGCCGACCCACTGCCGTGCTACCCAGAGAAGATTCATTCATAAGGGCTTTCACAATGAGTATGTTTTTATATACCAAGGAGAGAAGGGGGAAAAAATGTTATTATAAAAGTAAGGCTTTGGTGCAAAAGATTCCTCCAACCTGTAAAATCTATTAGGACAGAAGTAAGTTTGCATATTCAAACAATTGATTTCAGAGTTCATCAGTATAAAAAGAGTATGGCAGATCCTGTTGAAGGGAAAAAGGGGTGGTTATAAAGAGGTTATCACATGAGAAAATCAACAACCTCATAATTCCCCTCCCACCCCAACACAAATAAAGAGATGAGGTACACATAAGGACAAACAGAATGAGTGTGGTATGGTCTCACTCAAAACATGAGAGATGTCCAGTCACCAATGGAGAAGAGGTAGAATCTGAGTTCAAGTAAACCAACTCTGAGGTTCAGATTTTTTTTTCCAACATTTTATTTTTTTTTTTGTTCATGATGACTTTTTTTTTTTTTTTTTTAGCTTCTATACAGACACCATACAAAGCAAGTCACAAATTCACTTCAAAATATTCAACAGATTGAGCCAAACATTGCAGTTCCCACAAAATATAGGATGGACAATAAAAGGCATTGTTTCATATATTCCTTATACGTATGTACCTTTTTATAGAGTAGCATTGTAAATAAAATACAATACAAGATATACAGCAGTCTATATTTTCGGCAAATCCCTTCTTTATGGTAGAAAAGTGATTATGCGAGAGTTCATAATCTCCGTACCAAACCAAAACCGAGATAATGAAAAGAAAAAAGGAACTTAAAGATGAAAAAGAAAAATAGATCTTCGAATAAATAAAGGGAAAAACAACATGATGTTTAACTACATTCATACAAGTCGGTGCAACCCAGTTTCATTTGTTAGCAACTCTCAGTATAATTTCTCTGTAATATACCTCCCAACCCTGACAGACTGTGCTAACCTTTATGAAGGCCTTCATAAAATGTTCACCCAAGCTTCTCTAATCTAAAAAAAAAAAAAAAAAACACCTCTGCATGATACATTTACACCACATTTTTCCATTGATTTCGATACTTGAATATGCCCTGGAAAAAACGTGAACAAATGAAAGAGAAACAGAACAAACAAAAGAAGAACAAAAGAGAAAGAAAAGAATTTAAAAAAAAAAACAACTTGGCACCTCTAGTTCTTGAGTCCGCATTTCTGGAAAAAAAGGCCGTGTGATGTCATGTAAGGAAAAGCTCGTGTCCTTTTGGTGGCTGGATAACAGTTCCAAGAGTGACTTGACTGTACAGTGTGTTTATTGTATGGCATGTGTCTGAATGAGAGCAAAAAGGCAGAGCGGAGCAAAAAAGTTGGACGGGGCATTTCCAGAAGAGTCCCTACAGTCTGTCTCACTCGGTGATATTTGAGAGTCTACTTTTAAAGCGCACTCAGAAACTCCACTGGACTCGATTTTTAGCCGGCTTTTGGACGCAAAGTCCTATGGGTTTCCATGTGCATTACCCTAAATGTGTTAAAGCACTTAGGGTAAAGCAGCAACAAGCTGTAAGTCCTCACCCAATAATCTCCTCTCTATCAGGTTTGGCAAAGCAGGGGGACTCTTTATTTTTTACCCATCATGCTCTTCTAATTCGGAAGGAGTTGGAAAGCCCTTTTTGTTGAAGAAAGGTTGGAAACAGAAGCACAAATCTGCAAATATTAAAAAACAGTGTCAAATGGTTATTTGTTCTTTTTTTGTTGTTGTTATTTTTGTTTATGTTTGGTCTCATACGTGAAGATCCAGCAAGAAATTAAAGAACAAAAATATGAAATGGAGCAACACGGAGGGGCAAACGTTAATAGATTAATGCAAATGAATGGTGCAGCAATGACATTAAGTATAAAAAAATGGCATCATATTTGTTTAAGTTTCTAACAGTGTGCTTTTCAACACAAATAGGGACGGACAATCTGAAGACCACAGCAGAACCACAGACAAGTTGACAGAAAACAGAGAGTTTGGAGTTATTGACCATGGAAGCACTAGGAAAGAATAATGTTTGCTGCACTGACACCTAGTGGCAGAGGGCGGTTATGGTCAAAAGATTGGCTTGAAATGGTTTATGGCTTGTGAAACTGATTTGTGAGGGTGGTGGTGAGAAGACAAAGTGAAAAGATCTTCTGATGGAATGGTTTGAGTCTTAATTGCCTACTTTTAACACTCAAACAGTTAAAGAATTGAGAAGGAGGGCCTTTTTTTATGAATGGGAGCCAAATTCAGGTGCATGTATTGTTCTCTCACATATAATTAAGTTTAGAAAAATGCACACCATCACATTTGGGTTTATACATTTCAAGAGTCCCAATGCCAGTGCCATGAAAGTGTCATTCTTCATGTCTGGGTAATAAAAGGACTGGACTTTCCATTTAATGGCTCTATGAGTTTATCTACCAATGACATTAAGGCATACTTTGTATCTTAAATTGCTTATACATGAAACCTCTAAAATCACCATAAATTAAAGCATGATTGTTATTCTTCAGTCTCTCTGTGACTTGGAGAACTGGTGTAGTAGTACTTGTAGCTTATGGAGATCTTTTTTTTTATGTTTTTGATAGGGCAAAGCTAAGAAAGTAAGATCCTTAACACTTGTGTTGATGAAACATTTTCTCTTTGTGTTATTTTGCAAAATGCCAGAATGTTTTCACACTTCAAGTCTTCCGTCTAATGAGCCCATCTCAATCTTCCAGTTTCAATGAAGAAATGTCGACAATGCCCTCGTAACGTTCCGTCCTCCTCCTCCTCCTCCTTCTTCTCCTCCTCCTCCTCTTTTCCCTCACCCTCCCTCCTCCCACCCTTGGCTCGCAGCTCCTCAGAAGGTCATGAGCTGAAACTCCCGCTCGGCCTGCCACTCGGGCACCCACACTGGGTAGGTGGCGTGCTTCGGCATCTCCATGACGCGGACGGGGAGAGGCTCATTTCTCTGGTGGACATGGTTAGTCACTACCTAGCAGGGGGGGAAGGGAGACAACAAGGGGAGCTAGCACCAGCCTGTACTGCTCGGGGGCCGCATAAACCTGCGGCTCCCAAAGCAGCTGGGGTGAGAGGAACAAGATAGAAGGAAAGATACAGATGGAAGGGGTGGGGATAGATAGGGAGGTTAGAGGAGGAGTTAGCTACAAAGAGAAAAGAGAGAGCGTGAGAGCCAGAAGGCAGAGGTGAAGGAAAAGTGTTGATATGCAAGAAGAAGTTGCAGAAGGTAAATCTCGCTTAGCCTGATCTTTTTCTCATAATGCTGGCAAAGTTCGGCAGAAGAAAACAAATTAACATCATAAAACCTAAGGTAAATGTTAGATGGCACTTTAGGCACTAAGAAATTCGCTGCAGTTGTTTTGGATTGACTGAAGGATTTCTGTCTTCTGCAGACCTTCTTGAGCCACCAGAAACAAAGATCCAACTATGCAAGATTGGAAAAGTTAGCAGCAAAAAGGAGGGAGGGCAACAGGAAACAGGACGAAAGACAGAAAGTAAGGAAGATAGAGAAAGAAAGAGAGAGAAGAGAGAAAGAATAAAAGAAAGAAGCACAGAGTGGAAGGAAGAAAGAGCCAATGAAAAGTTGTAAGAAGGAAAGGCAGGATGAAGGAAAGGAAGAAAGAATGAAAAAAGGAAAGAGGCTAAAGCCAAGGAAACAGTAGTGGTTAGTGCACACAAATGCTACAGGTTAGAGCAAAGGGCAAATATGACAGGACACGGGATAAATAGCAAGCAGACAGGGATCGGGAGACTGGTGTCGTATTTCTTGGCGATCAGAATCAATTGGAGTCAGTATTCACGAGCCGTCCAAATTGTGCAAGAGCTTTTCTGTCTGAAGGTGGGCAGTTGGAGGTTGTAGATTTGCCTCATTAGCAATGTGTAAAATAGGCTGACATGAATTTTTTCATTTTGCTTCGTGCAATAGGACAGGTGCTGAAGAAAATAGTAAAGCAAAAATTAACAGGGCCATTTCAAAGATTTTGACGATGTAAAGAGCCCAGTTTCCTATTGGTGACATGAGAAACTTAATCCACTCACTACATCCAATTAGAAAAGAAAAAAAAAAAAGAAAGGTACATGAATTGATGTTTATTTCCACAGTGCTTATCTTTGATATTTGCTTCAAGGCTGAGTTTTTTTTTTTTTTGGCCCATTTTGGGGGTTTAATATGAAATCTTCAAAGTCTTTTACTCCTTAGCCCATTGTGCAGTTTGAACACGATGCTGCCTTTGCATGACTCGTAGGCAGCAGCGCTGGCTTTGAATGCATTTTGAGCAACCTGTCTCCCTCTGGTGGAATAAAAGAAAAAAAAAAATGTGTGCTTGGCGCCGTGCCCTCTAGTAGTGTGAGTGGGTGTTGCTTTGCATCAGCTGTCGCATACTTACTGTGAAAATATTGGAGCGCCGCTTCGACTGCTTGCGGATGGGCGTGGGCGTGTTGGAGGCAGCGATGGTCTCAATGCGCATCTCCCGCTGACTTATGCTGGGGGTGGAGGGAACAGAGGAGGAGTAGTCGCTGAACGCACCCCCACCATTGGCTGCCTATTGGGAGTGAGAGAGATTAAGAGGAACCAGCAGCATCAGAGAAGATCAGGGTGGAAAAAGAGAGAGGGATCGCAAAGAAAAAGGAATAGAAGGTCAGTTTGGGACGATGTGATAAGAACATCAGTTCAGACACCTAAAAACAAGCAGTCATGAGTAGCAGGTTAAATGGTCTTAATGTTGTCACATATTGAACATCAGATGTACGTCGGGCTGCTGTGGGCTTACCTGGTTAAGGTGGACAGAGGGGATGGATGCGGCTGGCACTGAAGAGTGACTCGGAGAGTTAGGGAGAGATTTGCATGGACCAATAGACAGCTGCTGCTTTTTCCTCATGGCCACAACCTTCTGGGCAACTAGTGGGGGAAAGAACAGCTCTGTTGACTGGCGACACAGTGCAAGCATGAAAATGTGTGTGTGTTCTGGTATATTGTTACAATTTCATTGAAAATACACAGATGAGATTCATCATATATTGCTTAGAGATACAACTTCCCTTATAGTCAATTTTTATCCATTATATATATATATATATATATATATATATATATATATATATATATATAGATAGATAGATAGATATAGATATAGATAGATATAGATATAGATATATATATAGATATATGTTGCCTATGGATAATTCCATAAAACAATTTTAATTAATTTCTCTATAAAGGTAAAGGGGAAGTTAAAGCAATACTGAAATACACAGAAAATATTAAAAATAAAAACAGAGATTTTAAAACACAAAATGCTAAAGGGATGCGTCACAATGTGATAACTATAAACCTGTTCATCCATTCTCTTTGACCCAAATGTCTAGTTATCCAAATTTCCTTGTAAGTTTCAGACATATTAGGACATATTGTAGAAACTCTCTCAGGTAAGGACTTAAGGCTTGTGAATGCATAAATTTAAAAAAATAAATAAATAAATACTACAATTATTTTTATTTTTCTGTAACAGACGATAATTCCAATAACCCACATTCCATATCCCTCTTGTACAATTTTTGGTCAGGCACGTCTGTAAACAAAAGGAACTATTTCCAAGGAAAGTAACCTAATGTTGGCCAAATGAGACAATGGTAACCATGTGAACAACTCAACTTGCTCTGTAGCATGTGAAAGCCATTATTTAATTCACAGCACACGTGACCGGGTGGGCTGGGGAGAAGGAGGAGGAGGAGGAAAGGCAATGCTCACGGCTGCGTGACATGAATTAGCATTGAGGGGAAGGAAAGAGATGATCTGAAGCTGCATCGACAGCTGGGACCACAACGCCTGACTGCCTGCTCTAGCTTCGCAAATGCGAAGAGAAGGCAACAGTTATTCGGAGTGACTTTTCCAGTCACCAGGCACTTGTTTAATTACTTCAAATTGGACTTCAGGAGGCAATTAAGGCAGAGGGAGAAGACAGCATGACTATGCAATGCAAAAATGCATCAACTGACACTGAAATGTGCAGTGAAAGACAAGATACCCTCTCAGATGTTTCCTGAGAGGATGGCAGACCTTCAAACAGGCTCTAGGTTTAGAACGGAAAAAAAAAAAAAAAAAAAGTTCCACAGTCAAGGCAGCCGGATTTCCAAATGGAAGTCTTATTACTTTGAAGATTAATTTTGGGAGAAATCAGAGTTTCAAGGTTCTTCATGAGACACTTCTAAATAATTCATAATTACCTGATCTTAAGGTTACAGTCCCACATTTGCTTTGAGTATTTTGATTCCATAATTAATAATCACAGTCCTGGCAATAGTTTTTAACTAACCAGCATGTAATTCTTACCAAAATATTTATTAACCCTTCTGCAACCCAATCTTGAATAAAATATAATAATGTGATGTGTTGCTGCTTATATTAAGTAAACATAAAAGATTAAGATCAAAATCATTACATTTTTTAAATCTATTTTAGGAGCTAGGGTTGCTCAATAGAGCTAATGCAGTAAAAGTGAAAAAATACCCCGACATTTCTATTACAATTTTATAAAAGAGACTATTTTGGAAACTAAAGGCAAAAAAGTTGAAAATAAAACAACTCCCATTACATAAAATATACACAAAAATCTTTAGTGCAAAAACCTCAATACAAATCTTTAAACATAAATAAAACATAAAAAAAAAAAGCACACGGTCTTTAAATATTCCCTCTTACCATCCTGGAAGACTCTCTCCACATTCAGGCCATAGGTGGAGCAAGTCTCGTAGTATGTGCAGCGTTTCAGATCGTTAGACAGCTTTCTGGCCCGAGAGTCATCAATCACTCTGGGATTGGCTGCACTGATTGCATCTACCAAAAGAAAAAAAAAAAAAAAAAGATCCAAAGAAAGACATCAAGGTAAGTGTTTATTACTAGACTAGAAACATACAGTATTTTATGGAAAGTAATTGATTTAAATTCCAATGTTATGTAAAATATGTGTGTATTCACGATAGATATACAACAAACACCTTGTGTTCCAACGAGGACCATTGGCACCTCCGCTGTGTTTCTGTAGCTGGATAGGCGCAAGAAGTAATTGTAGACTGTCTGGAAGCTGATCTCATCCTCCAGGCTAAAGACAAAAACCACTGCATCCACCCAGGCAGCAAACTGAGGACAAGGCAGAGACCAAGCACTGTATGTGTTATGAGCCACCTATCAAAGGTTTTCACATTATCAGCAGAAAATTTACATATGGAAACAAGTGTGTTTTAATGCAACTGTGGTTTCTTGTAGTTGCGACACGATCAAAAAATCTTAAATTTCTGGTGCGGTAAAAAGACTGAGAACTGACTTATTCAAAGATTAAAAAACATGATGCAAGTTTCTAAAAAAATAGATTTTTTTAGACGATTTTTCTGTGTTTGCTTTTTACTCTGTGAGATTATCAAATCATTAAAAGGCAACCATAAACATAACCTTTGTGACAACACAAGGTAGGCAAAAAGATCTCACAAAGCAACGCGTCGTGTGTTGATCTAAAGAAACTCAAAAACAGTCGAGAAACTAAGTCACTGACGCATATCAATCTGGAAATAGTTACAAAGCCATTTCTCCCGCTTTTCGAGTCTAGTTAACCACAGAGAGAGCATCCATAAATGGAGACAACATGAAACAGTGGAAAATATTTCCAGGACTAGCCGGCCTACCAAAATTACTCTAACAGTGTAATAACCATCTGACCATAAAAACCAGAAAAAACATCTAAAGCACTGAGGGCCTCACTTGTCGCAATTAGCTAGTTTTTGTGATTCAACATTAAGAAAGAAACTGGGGGACAAAAAGTCATCCATAAGAGAGTTCCACACAAAAAAATAAACCCTACAAAGAACATACTAATTCAGTTTTGTAAAGGTCTACTCAAAGTTCATACCTAAATCCTTGAAAACCCTGTAAAAGAGCCCAAATTAAAACAAAGAGTGAGCCTCCATAGCACTGTAAAAAAAAAAAAAAAAAAAAAACCTGTACGGCAAACGGCTGATGGCAGCTGTCGTCACCAAGGAGCGGTACGCCCACGTATTAGATTTAAGAGACAGATGCTTTTTTTCACATAGGGTTAGGTTGATTTGGACAGTTTACCTTAATAAATGAACTCATGAACTGTATTTTGTACTTATGTACTTATTCGTGTTATCTTTAAAATTTGTTAAATGATCCAAAACACGAAGGTGTGCCAGTAAGCCGACACAAAGAAAACTGGCATGAGCCAATTGCCTGTTCCCAACACTGGCAGTTTGAATGCTACATTTTATCTTGCTAGTGCAGTTCATAAACTCCAACAGAAGGGGGTAGTATTGTAACAAACTTTAATAAATTCAATGGCACAGTGATTATAAGCCACTACTACAAAAGCTGCATGGTTTTTATATCCCCACTGTACATAATGTAACAAAATGTTATATTTATTCATATTGTCTGCATAGTTTATGACTGCATAGTAAAGAAATCCTCCTGTAAAGATAAGAATAAACTACTCATCTACAAACATCATTACTGTTTCCAATATTATTAAGCAGAGCATGAGAAACAGTAACAATCCAATAACACAACCTCTCCATGAATGTACTTCATTTAGCCTTCACATTTGCAAGGATTTCTCCAGTGGCATCAAGCCTTTGAGTCACAACTCAGAGTGGGAACATGACGGAGGCCTTTTATTATACCACTAATTACACAGGCAGCTAAAAACTGAGCCAAACTCATATCTATTCCTTTATCTTACGATGCAGTGCACAGGAAGAAATCGGAGCGATTTTCTGATTAGGTCTCAACTGCTGCTTAAAACCAGAAATAAAACAGTTTATGGCGTTTTCCAGATTGGAGGATTGACACAGTGGGTATGTATGACTCAACTAAGTTTGATGTTGACATGTGAATTTTTTTTTGTGATTTCATAGCAAATCATTTGAAAATTCTTGTTCACTGCAGCCTCAGAAAATCTAAAGAAACCATTTGTAAAGGCACATGTGACATATTTCCAACATAGCGGTTTATTACATAGCACAAAGGGAAAATACTACAGTATGTAAAAAGAAGAAGAAGAAAAAAACACAACTCACCTTAAAACATCAACTATTACATTTATATGTAATAGTTGATGTCAATACTTCACAAGCAGATGACAAGAACAAATGCTGTTTTTTTTATTTGCTCCTGTAATGCTTGTCACTACCAACGTAAATCTTAGCTCGTTCAGCCACCTTAAACCCAGCATCTGGTCTGTTAATCCACCTTCTACCTATAACTACTCTTCCTCCTGCCTTGTAAACTCTTTCTGCTGCCGCTCTGTCACAAATCACTCCAACCTGCGTGCGCTCGCTTTCTTGCTTCACCTTCAGAGACGCCTCATCTTTCCATCTCAAGTACCAAAAACTCATCCCACATCTCCATCTCTTTTTTGAGTATTCCTGTCTTTCTTGTAACTACATTCATTGAAGAACTTGTACTGTGTACTTTCTCCTACTAAGGTCCATTCCTCTATTCAGATGTCATTTGTTTCCTTTTTGCTTTAGTACGACTCATCCACCATCATCTTGCATCATGTCGCAACAATTCAGTTTAGGTTTTCCTCAATAATACAGTTTGGGCAGGAAGAAATATTCAAGATAGACGTCTTTTGTGCAATTGTGGTTCAGTCATTCACAAGAAAACAAGACTGATCTCTCCCCGACTGTAAAACATCGTCAGGGTTCCTAATGTCTGGTGGGATAATATTAATACAGATAATGGACCATTGTTATGAACACAGGACTTCTAGTCATGACACTATCCTAATAAGGTTTTCTAAAAAGAATTGATATTTCCCCCCACTAGTTTTATAGTCATTCCACTTACATTCAAATTCAATTCAAATTCAAAAAAAGTACCTCATTGATTCCAAAGGGAAGTTAATTAAATTAGTGTCCGCAGTTTCATAAATAAGATTAAAATCTTTTCTGATGGAACTTTGAAACAACATGATAGAAATGGCTAAAAACACCACTGTGGATCATTAAAATCGTAAATAACAGTTCGATTTCGAAGTAGGTGCCATCACAATGGATACGCAATGTGAAGTCAAACATTATTACATTAATTTGAAACAGTTGAGCTATATCACTACCTTTTTTTTTTTTTTTTCAATGACGTGAATAACTTTTTGATATGCATACATCTAGGAAGGCTGAAGCTGTTCCTTGGAACAAAAATGATTTGCATGTGGCTGCTTGGTGTATTTTATCTTTCTCTACAGCAACCTCAGGGTGTTGCCGCTCTGCTCCAAAATATCCTTTAGAGGATATATCATGGACTGTCTCAAACAGTTTGTGTCTGCATGACAGCTCTCAGACTGCCTCTGTTCAGAAAGCGTTGCAGCTTTAGAGCAGTGCGATATTTTCAAGGATCAGCTCCTCTACCTGCAGCTCTGGAGGCCCTCCTTCATCTCTGATGAGAAGCAGGTAGCTCTGTCCGTCCACCACAATTTCTTTCTTGAAGCGTCCACCTGGAGGAAGAAGTATTACTGAGATTATGTTTGAAATGAATAATAACCAGGCACTTACAAAAAGAAAACAGTGCAGCTGATGTCTTGCACACGATAACTAGACGTATTATAAAACAGTCTTTTTTATAGTGCTTTTAGAAATGAACATTTATTGAAAAACCTAAAGGAAACATAGAGAGAAAGACAAACAATCACAAATTCGATATTGAAACACAGTTTGATGTGATTCATGAAGGTGTGCTGCCCTTTCCTGCTTTAAACCCTCAGCATACTGTGTTGTCTGGATCATATGCCGACAGGAAACCAGGTCCCTCTGGAGCCAATTATGTGGGGGAGAAATTGCCATTAAGCATGTCTAATGCATAGCTGCTGCAGAAGCCGGCTCTTTGCCACTATTACTGCACCGCTACAAGTCAGAGAAAGGCCAAACTTTCACTTCAAAAGCCTCATCAGACTGCTTATTCTGTCTGCACAGCTTCACTGGATGAGCCAGAATTTAATCAAGAAACTTTCTGCTCTGCAATGAAACCTCAGAAATGAAATATTTTGAGATAAAAGCCATACTGAAACATGCATTACACTGAACTGGTGCTCATGTCAGACAATGTCCAGTATTGTAGAGTAGATACAACATTTGAGTAGGTCTCCTCCTCCTTCCCCTCACCCCCAATTCTTTTTCTGATATGAATATGTTTTTCCTTGCCACTAGCAAACCCGGTTGAAGATAAAGAAGAGACCAATGGGAGATGCACGAAGAAAATTAGATTTTGCATATCATTTGACTGGTTCAAGATCCTGCGGAGATTAAAAACATTCAAATGAGAAAGTTGGCCGACTAGAGATGTCCCAAGGTGTGAAAACGGTGCCTTATGAATACCAAAAACACACAGAAAAAAAAAAAAAAAAAAGCGCTGAGAGCAATTTGACAGGTTTGAATAATGCAAAGCTCTTATAATAGTCATGACAAAACTCCATAAAAACATGATGCAGAAGACAGCAGAAACACACACATTTTATCTTTAAAACAATCTGCGGACAGTGTTGGGGGGTGGGTGAGGGATCGTTCCATTCAACCAACTTATTAAGAACTGAAAGGTCACAGTGGGAAAGGGCCATAAAATAGCCAGGGGCTATAATTTTACAAAAGGTGGACAGTATTTCCTGTTTGAGCAAGCAATAGATATCCACTTGAGTCTCACTTCCATCCTGTTAAGTCCACTTTAGCCTGCCGGGCAAACGGAGGATTCTCCCAGCCACTTGCAACGACTCTCAAGACGTGCCTGGATGCTGGTTGTGTAATAAAGGGAGAGAGATTGATGGCATCGCAGCAAGCTTTTCCCCCCTTCTTGTTCTTTATTTATTTTCCTGAAGTCGCACAGCTTCGAAGCTGTTCTCACAAAGGAACTCACAGACGATTGATATGCATGTTTGAGTCCTGTTTGAAGAAAAAAGGCAGATTTCATTACAAAGTGGGACGCGGAGAGCCGAAGACTTGGTGCAGCGCAGAATTTTTATGGACTTTGGCAGCATTTATCTGCATACGCCAGATAAGATTATGGGAATCTCGGAAACGAGTTATGTGATGAAAACATATGGCTCCAGTGAAAAGAGGGAGGCAATTTGGATGTGAACCGTCTCGTTGCATAATCATCCGGAATTATTCCCTATTTAGAGACGAACGAATAAATGGCATCCAAAGGAAAAAAAAAGAGCCTCAGTACCCCTTAATTCTTTCTGTGGTCACGAAAAGTAAATCCGAGGGCACAAATTTGCATTTGACTACGGCAATCATATTAAAACAGGTAACTACTGAGAGAAAGAGCCCTGTTAGTGAGCGTGGTTAACACGCAGCAAGCATACTCTGCTTTACACAGAGACTCAGACCTTGACACTCAGCCACAATCCGACGGAGTGCCATCCGGTGTTGCCATGGCAACACACCCCGGTACCTTTTTTCAGATATCATAGCAAAAGCCCTGGAACAAAACAGCGAAGAAACGGCTACAGCGAAGCCTCTTCCTCTTCGTCTGTGATGCTTTTTCAACGTGAATACTATGAACTGGAGAAAAGCCAGCACAAAGAGCACATGTGAGGCTGATATGTTGTATCAGTAAGATTTTAAAAATAAATAAATAAAAAATAAGAAGAAAGACACCAAGACAGGAACTGACATTTTTCCCTGATTACAGCAACAACCCTCGCCCTGTTTTTTGCAGCATTTCCGCCATTGATTTCTCAAGGACTAATTAAGTTATGCATTTTTCCCCCCTTTCTTTTCTCCCTTGGTGCAGAGAAATGCCAGAAACTAATTATGTGCTTCAAGTTTCATCCACACTATAATTACACTAAGATAAAACACTGCAAAAAAAAAAAAAAAAAAAAAAAACCCTCTTAAAGATCATAAGTTAACTCTGGGTGTGCCAGCATCTTCGTGGATTTTTGAAGGATGGACCTTGCAGAGCAGCAGTGGGTATTCTGGTCATTATTTGTCCTTGTAGAGAGACTTTAGCTAATCTGGTTGACAGTTTATTATCACAATGAAAATGATCATTAAAAGGCTAAATAAGACAATAAAAAATTCATTTGACCTTCCCTATTTTAACAAGAAATGGAAATGAGCTTTGCCTTTATCTCTTCAGTTGGAAAAATAATAATAAAAAAAACCCACGGCATTTTCTAATTTAACCTCAACAACACCCAAACATTCTTGCAGAAAGTAAACAGCAAACAGAAGAACCCAACTCGATGTAAATTACATAATTTACTCCCAGTGTGGTTATCCTTTCATATAGAGTGATACCGAGTATCAGTATTGTTTGTTTTATTCCTCTGGGGGGGAAAAAAAGGACACAAAATGTTCCTGCGAACACCCATTTCAGTAGAGTTTAATCTCAGAATGCTATGGGATTAATAACAAGGGCTCTGCGTACTAATAAAGTGCCAAGTATATCACATTACAGCTATAAAAGAACACACAAAGCTGAAAAAGTTGCACATTTCATTATATTTTCTGCAAAATATAAACCACATGTGAGATGAGCTTGAGAGAGAGCTAAACTTACAGCAGATAACATAAAGGCTTGCCAAAGCACAGCAAAGTGGCCAGTTATTTTTCTGAATTTGATATTTTGTAAATATCAATGATTAGAATCTATTCTACTATAGGAAATAAACACGGGGAGTGCTTTTTTATTACTGCTAAATGCTCTATCTATGCTCATTAATAATGTATGGCACAGAAAAATTCTGACCAGTGCATCCATAGTGGTGCTCTTAAGTTTATAACTGCCTTAATGTTTAATAAATATAATCCAAAGCGCGACAGTATTTTGCTAGCCATCTCCAGAAGACTCTTACCTTCAGGAGACTCCTCCTGCACATATGTGCCTGTCAAGTATCGGTGCACCAGGGCAGACTTCCCACTGGACAGATTCCCAACAATGCCCTGAAAGGACAAAAGCAAAAACACCATGATCATTATCAACGTGGCACATTACAAGAAGAGAAAATAACACTAGCCAATAGAAAATAAATTCAGCAAATCTTAATTTGACTACTAAAGCTGTTAACATTTCTCTAAAATGCATAGGTTTCAGCTGAACTGACGGGCAAAAGATTCTTTTTTTTTTTTTTTTAGATTTTCACTAAAAGCTGTGGCATTCAAAAACATGATTTTTGTTGACAGCGGCTTCACCACGACGTTGCATCTGATGAATAAACATTGTGACATTCTGGATTTAACAAATACAATTATAGGGTGGTGCATGTTGGAGAGGCACATTTTCTCTTTACACTCAGTGTAAAGACAAATAGTATTAAAAAGAAAAAAAAAACCTGAAAAAGTTGTACATTTTATTTGATATTTTTTACAATAAAATAAATGTTAGTGATAAAAAAAAACTAATACAAAATATCTTAGCTGTGTACTGTGAGAAAAATTCCTTTGCATAAAATGTGTTGCAGTTCTTATGCCATTGTAACAATGAAACATATTGCAGCAACTAATTTGTATGCAATATAAGCCGAGTGTTTAATCTTCTCCCTAATGACGAAATACCAACATGATTTGTCACCTCTAGCTGCACAATATATTGAATCACATCACCTCATTTCCACTGCAATATCAAAGTATATCATTCTGCAATCACAGAACAGCTAGAATTAAATATTCAGCAGTCTCTAGTATGTCAGGTCCTATGCATTAAATGTGTTGCTTGCAAGTTATGTATTTGGTCACTTTGATACATTTTCACACATGTTCATATGTTGTAGAACTTGGTCAATCAAGATCATGACATTCATGGTATTTGTTGGAGACAATACAGTTATAGGGAAAAAAAAACAAACAAAAAGGAAAACATATAAATCAAAATTTCTGCAAAATTTAACAATCACATCTGTGCAATTTTAAGTTTGGTTGGCACTGACCAATGATCTTTTAGTAGGAAACTCAAGAAATCCGATATTCAGTTCGCATCATAGTAAGCGCCATCACGTCCAACTGACAACACTTTTTGGGGTAGACAGTAAGACTGAGAAGAAGTCTCAGAGTTAGCTGTTTTCTATCAATGAGATGTTTAAATGCACCTAAGGATATGCAGAGAGATTTCTCAAGATATTCAAATAGGCAGAAAATAAAGTGCAAATTTTCTGCAAAATATAAACCACATGTGAGATGAGCTTGAGAGAGAGCTAAACTTACAGCAGATAACATAAAGGCTTGCCAAAGCACAGC